CGACTACCTTATACTTTTTTTTCTTTCTCTTTATTCTTTTTTATCAATACGATGTTTCCTTTATGCTATTACTTTTTTTTTTGCACGAGAAAGTTCTTATCACTACTATTATTTTTTCTATAACACTTTGGAAAAGAATTAATTCCGATTGATTGGCTCGAGAGTTACATTTCTTCGTATATTTATTCAATATGTTTGGGAGAATAATTAAGATCAATCAAAATGATAAAAATTATAATTATTTTTTCAACGAACAATAAACTATTGTCCTCAATTATATCACAACGCTAGTGAGGCAAGGTCAACAATAACTTTACCAATTCGATTTACATAAATATTAAAAATTATTTTTTATGTCAGTTCACTTAAATTAACGCTATATATATATATATATTTTTATTCCATAGATTTCAAAAATATATAATACATAAGATATTATGTCATTATGACATTTAACTATTTATTGTATATAATTATCTAATTATGAAATATCACGTGTCTAATATAAATTTGTGTAAAATTTTCATTTACAATATTAGTATGTCATATATTAAATTAAAGATTTTTTTAAAAAAGTATAGAGATTATAATTATAAAAAAATAATACAATGATTAATTTAAATATTTTAAAATAATATATTAAAAATTTTAATACTTTGCTCTATATATGCAGTTTTTTTGTATGATAAAACTAATTGCAAAAATTAATTGGTCAATAATGATAATTGATCCAATTAACTTTCATATATGCATAAACATGTAGATTATTTTATGGACCGTTAGATATTATGTCGATAGTTTATGATTAAATGAACGTTTTGTGACATTTAATTTATTTTAATTTGAATAGTCAACACAATTTAATGCTCAACATTTTTTATTTAATTATGTTAAATATAAAAATTGTTAAATAATATATATATATATATATTGATGAACATATCTAATATTTATATTTTTTTAAAATTTTATTTTAAAAAACAAATATTTATATTTTTACGAATAATTATGAATTGGAGTGGGCCCTTTAGTAGAAATTCAAAAGGCAAACGGGCCTTTAACATAAACTCGGCCCACTGGCGTGGAAAATCACATTTTAAATTCTCACCTGTACGGTTACTCCTCCTCTCCGCCGGGTTCACAATTTCTACACACGATATCGGGAAGCAGAGAACAGATCAAAGAATCCCTCTCCGATTCGGGAGAAGAGAGGAGAGGCGAAGATCGTGTTGATAGTCTCACCTTGCTGTGACGAAAAAAATAAGAGGATCGATGGTGGGAAAGGATATCAAAGCAGAGACGATGGTTTTGATGGAGAAGAGGGCCGCATTGGAGGCCGAAATGAACTCCATCATCGACCGTCTCTGGCAACCGGGAGGCCCTGGCCTCACTGGAAACCTTGTTGACGCCGAGGTGTAATAATTTTCAATTACAATTAATGTATTGATTACATTATTTTTCGAAGAATTATTCAATTGCGAGGAGACCTAGGTGTTGCGTAGTTATGAATTTTAGTTATTATCTAAAATTCACTGGTTTGCTGCTGTTAGGGATTTCCTCGGGCGGATATTGATATTCCAGTTGTGAGAGCAGAACGTCGTCGTCTTTCTGGTTAGTCCTTCACTTTCATTTTGGTGATTGGATTCTGTTACGAGTGTTTGGGGGAAAGATGATGGAAATGGTGGGG